GTAATAAGTATAATTCTGGGAAAACGGCGTATTCTGTATGTAAAAATAGATAGTGAGTTAATTATAAATAAAGGCCTGTTGGCCCTTCGGGAAGAGATTTAACACCCGATTTACCTAATAATAAAGTACCTAAGTCATATATAAAAATGCCCTACCAACTACATACATTCTTTTATTAACCACTCGTCCAAATCTAACACGTCTCTTTCGCGTTTTTTTTTCCTGACGATTCTGTCGGTCGGTGACCCGATTGCTGCGAAGCATTGACCGACCGATAAAGATATATAAGGGTATAGTTTCAGATTATGAAGGATGAACGGTCGTTGATAGTATTTAGTATTATTGTGATAATTCGATGTATTGATTTATTTTAATAAAGGGAAACCTTATATTTGTGTTAGTTTATCGATTTAAACCACTTTGCCTTAATCACTATTTGTTCACGAGCGAAGTTTAATTGGTTCAAGACCCCATAATACTCTACTCCGATCGTGAAACCGTGGGAATCCGAAAATCTGTGCAACCCTCGGATATCCGGACGTTTAACCAAACAGATCCCAACACTACTCTAATTATGGTAATTATGATGCCATACAAATTTACAGCTGTTTTCATAATTCCTGGAACACCTGATAAAAATTAACGAAGGATTTTTTTGCCTATCCGATTAAGATTTTGATTTCGACATGATCGGTATATAAAAAGTATATTTTTGAACCAGGGCCAATTTTTAATATTGATATACCTAATACGTCACAAATGAAATTACATCGTTTGTCCGACTTCAAAAATTAGCTCACATATGCTTCGCAAAAAGATGTGCCCCCACGATTTTTGTGATGATGAGCGAGGAAAATTTCTGATTCTAAATTGTCTATTAATTCTTATTTTCGATCAGTTATATTTATATTTATTTGAAATTGGTAAGATTCTTAAAATCTATAGAATCTCTGATTTTCACACGGCATTGTGATCCGCAGAGGTTTGCAAATCGCAATAAACATATCAATATCATATTAACGTAATAAAATTCCTACTAAAACATGTTCAATAAAATTTTCATAATCAATAGAATTCATAGAACCTTCTTGAATACAGTACGATAAAGGCCATTAATACACATTACACCTTTTATGATGATTCGTATTCCTCGAACAAAAATTGTATATTTTTGATCACGCAATCCTGAAAAATTCCAGCCATAATGTCATGATTGTTTGTTTTGTCTTAAGCAGTTTCATCAATAAAAAAAAAAAAAAAAAACTGACTTGGTGTATACTATAAAATAATATATGTGAGGCTGTTTGAAATTAAAACTTTGTTTAGCATTATTTTTGTGATATCTGTAGAGGTGGGGAGGGAAAAATTAAACAAATATTAAAATTAAATGAGATGAACCTAATTAGGTTCAAATGAACCTAAATTAGGTTTAAGTGAACCTAGGCAAAATCACTAAATTTTAAGTAGTTATATAATTCAATCAGCATTCGAACATAAAGTTTATTTAATATAGATGTTATTTAGAATATAAAATTACAACAAATTTTTAACTATATAATGTAAAGCTGCTTGTAATTATAATTTCGTTTAACGTTATTTTTATTTCGTATTCACAGGGAGGGGAGGGAGGGGATTAAACAAGAAGCATATAGTGTACCGAAATCCCGAATATACCGAAAAATTCCGATCACTGTGCTGACCATTATACTGACTAATTTGCCACATCTATTTGGTTAATTTTAAGGAAGCTCGGGGATGGAGGAGGGAATAATGATAAACGAAAGTTTAACTTCAAGATACGAAATATTACCTTTTTGTGTGTATATCCAAATCGGTATATAGCCCTCCAAATTGTTGTAAAACTAATGTTATGTCCTAATCAAAGTTCCATCTCAGATTACAATTCATAAAAGTATCGGTCAGGTTTTTCTTTCATAAAATTTTGATTTTAATATTAAAAAATTGCGTCACATTAATTGTTTAAAATTTATATAAATATCACTCAAATTTTTTAATGGTTGTACTGTACATTGTATAATTATTTATTTTATTTATTTATTTTATTTATATAATTTATATTGTATGTGATATATAATTGCAAAAGAAAATCAGTCTAAAAGATCGTATTTACGCATGATACCTGATACATATAATACGTATATTACAAGCTTTCTAGTAAAGCTTCTACAATAAAAAATTTTTTTAATGAATAAACAGGAATGATATAAAATTATAAATGGATGATTGGAATATTTTATAAATATTATAAATAGATAATTCATTTAAACAACAGCCGGACGACTTTCTTTGACAAATCCTTCTTGATTTTCATTTGATAAATCTTCTAATGATTTATTCTTTGTTTCTGGCACGAAGAAGAAAGTGAATATTAAGCCAGCAAGCATAAAAACTGCAAATATTTTAAATAAATGGTCGATGAATGCATTTGAACCAGGGTCACCGCCTTGATCTTTTAATTTGATAAATCCAACTTGTGAAATAATAGCTCCCAATTTTCCTGCTGCGGCACTTAAACCGTGTGCAGTTGAACGATATCGAGTTGGGAATACTTCACCAGGTATAACGAATGTAGTAGCATTAGGTCCGAAATTAAAGAAGAACTGTGAAAGCAATTTTAATTAATAAAATTATAAATATAATATATATATGTAATATATATTGTAATGACTTTACTTAATATAAAACTTACTTGTGATAATGTAAATATAAATATGAAAAGTTCCATAGATGCGTTCTTAATTGGATTATAACCAAATCCGAGAATAATAAATAATCCTGTAAGCATGCCAAATCCCATAAGTTGAATTGGACGTCGACCCCATGAATCAATGGTAAATACGGTAACCCAATAACCAGGTACTGTGCCCAATAATGCAATGATAATATTACCAACAGATGCCTTATATAAATATCCATATGGATCTTTACCATCCCCAATGAATCCAATTTGTTTTAAAATAGCATTGTTGTTTAGACCGATACCGTAAAAAGCTACATCAAGTGCGAACCATGTAAAAGCTGTTCCAAATAAAACCTTTCCGTTTTCCCATTTACCAAAATATCTAAAGAAATCTGCAAAACTAGCTTTTGGCGCATCAACTTTAATGTTAATTTCTTGTTCACGAGGCCTGTATGAACCTGTTGTTAATACTGTATCGATATCTTGAACTGCTTGATTGACATTACGTTCAATATCCATGGTAAAACGAGGAGTTTCTGGTATTGTAAGTCGGAAATAAAGGGCAACAACTCCTGGAATTGCTCCAAATCCAGTGACAATTCTCCATGCATAATCAATGTGTGTATAATCATTTGGTGTAATAGCGGACTGGAAACATACTATTGTGATAGTTGAAATGATAGCTGCTGACAAAATTCCAAAACCTTGCATGGCAAATACGGCAGCCATCATGCCACCTCTTCTCTTAGTTGTAGCGAATTCGCTAGTAATAACTTTTTTTGAAAATAAAAAAAAATATAAATAATAACATAAGATAAATGAGGAAGTAGACTTATTTTCTTTGCAAATTTCTTACCTGCTGAAAGAGGGTAGTCTCCTCCAATGCCAATACCTAAAATAACACGCCAGAAGGTGATAAGGCCTTGAGCGGAGATGACATTAGAATTCTGAACAAAAGTTTTTGTAGTAGGTGAAAAAGCATAGGAATTTGAAACGAGACAACAGGATAAGGTAGCGAAGATTATCATCAAAAGCTCGATACCATACATCTATTATAATATAAATTGTATAAATTGATTGATTAATGATAATTACAACCAAATTAAATAATTCATCATAATTCCTCATAATTCCTCACCTTTTTGCGACCTACGAGATCTGCCAATATTCCAAAAGCAATTTGGCCAACAAGTGTGCCAACTGGTGTTGCAACTTTCACTCCTAAATCAACATCTGTTGGAAGTGTATTTGTTCCAAAATATACGTAGGCTAACATAGTAGCTACAAGATTGATAGCGAAAATATCGTAGGCATCTGTGAAAAATCCTACTCCAGATACCATGCAAGCTCTGATATGAAACCATCCAAATTCAGCATTATCAATCTTTTCAAGAGCTTCGCGACGTTTTATGTCATAATTGTCACTAACAACATGGGAAATTTTTTCTTTAATTTCTTCGGTCATAGTTATTATTATTATTATTATTTGAAAATATCGTTAAGTAGGACTGTTTCTAAAGCCCTCCTGATTAATTATTATATATGTCAATAATTTGATAAAAAAAAAGAAGATGGAGCGTGCACACATTATTTATGATTTTTAGATGGTTATACAGCTGCATGATGTGATATACCTTTAAAGTAACAATAGTATATTACGAATTATATACACTCAATTTAGCCCAATAACGCATATTTTTTATATACAAGACTGGGCAAAATTGTTGAATAACGGTAATTTGTTCAGTATTGGTATTATTCGGCAATTTGTCGTCACTTGAATTTCAACACGATCGCCATAACACATGGAGATCACATGAGTTTGCCTGATTAGGGTTTTTATTTTATTTTATTTATTTATTTTATTTATATAATTTATAATGTATGTGATATATAATTGCAAAAGAAAATCAGTCTAAAAGATCGTATTTACGCATGATAC